TGTTTCACGTTCCACAGGGCAGCGGGGCTTTAGCTGCAACGGCTCATGAAGATGCCACAGGCAGCCAAACGGCGGATGTCGTGTTTGAGCCTTTTGACCTCTGTTTTCCACTCTCCTCCATCAAGTCAAGAACCAAGTAAACTCCGTGTGAACCAGCAACCTAAAGACGGACAAATTCTGTGCCTCCCTACTAGCTCATCCGTCATTCCTCCCTCCCTTAAGTGATACTGATGTCAGCCTTTCTGGGTATATCTTACAGCCCGTATAAAAGGTTGATAACCTGGGGTAGCTTTTTCCTTTCACTCCTGTCGTCACCAACATTGTCAGCTGTCACTGACCTTTTCTCAATTGCCAACCAGTCTTTCCCCGTAGTCAAGGGACTTCTGAAGAAACAAGTGTTAAATATAGATGTAAACACTTACCTTGTTTCTAACATGCAAGGGATTATTTCACTTTGTTAACAGGAACTCAGTTTCCACTACTATCCTGTAATTCTTAAAAAAAATGTTTGGGCAGCTTTTACTCTAAAAATGATTTATGTTCGAAGCTATCTTCTTACAACTGTGTAGCTGATAAGTTTTTCAAATACTGCCTTGGAAAAATGTACCTGTTTTGAAGCAATACACAATTCTGGATTGAGTCTGTTGACGACTAGAAAAAGTTTCTGGAAAAAAAATGAGATAGTGGGTCAATTCTGCTAAATGCTGATTTAATCAGTGCAATTAACTCCACTGAAAGCTTCATATGTCTTAATGTCGAGGTAATTTGGTAATTCCTAATAAGCAAAATCTGCCAGACATGCTTTTCCAAGAATTGGGGACATTGAACACCATCCAACGTGTTGGGTCCTTCTATTGTTAACGCCGTTCTGCAGTAAATCAATTTGTTGTATGTTTGGGAAACAGAATTTCTGTTGTACAGTAAAAATTTCACAAGGTATTTGTTACATAACTTCTACTTCTTAAGGAATCAAACTTCGTTCCATTTCCAAAGAGAAAAAATTTCCATTTCATTTGAAATGAAATGAAAAGACAAGTGATGTCTGCCGAGGCTTAGATTACATTAGGCTTATGTTTCATAATAGACATCACCAGCTAGAACTCTGCTTGACAATATTTTAAGCATGACAGTTAGCAGCCTGCTTAAAAGACACGAATTTTATGATTTACATTAGGTTTGAAAAGTACTTTGGCTTTTAGTTCACCAAAACAAGTCTAAATTTTGTGTGGACCAATCTGCATTTAACATCATACAGGAAGTTTCTCCCTCCCCCTCTTCTGGCATTAAGGAAGCAAACTGAATTTCTCCAGCCCAAAAGCAAACAAATCTTTTAAAATATAATTTCAAAACAAAAGCATTGTATGAATTTAATTTATTCACAGGATACTTTACTCAAACTAACTGGGGGGCATGTTTGTGTGTGTGTGTGTGTGTGTATATACATATATATATTATATATATGGGGTTGTTTAGCCTGGAGAAAAGGAGGCTGAGGGGAGACCTCATCGCTCTCTACAACTACCTGAAAGGAGGCTGTAGCGAGGTGGGTGTTGGTCTCTTCTCCCAGGTAACTGGCGAAAGGACGAGAGGAAATGGCCTCAAGTTGCGCCAGGGGAGGTTTAGATTGGATGTAAGGAAAAATTTCTTTCCTGAAAGAGTGGTTAAACATTGGAACAGGCTGCCCAGGGAAGTGGTTGAGTCACCAT